ATGTTTTCGAATGTATGCTTTTCTCAAGGGTACTGTACACACAAATGATACAAGCAAGGACTTTCAAATGACCTGCCACCTACATGCATTATATTGCTTGTTTGAAGTTGCATTTCTTAAACATGTTCCATGTTGATTGACAGCGGCTCTGCTCTGTTCCTTGCTCTTTTGAAATTCCATTCATTGCAAGGAAGACCCACATTCTTTCCTCCTGCTTCCTATTAACAACATATGTGCATGGTTTTTATATCTGGAGGTTCACCTAAAATAGATTAGAAGTGTCTTTCCCTTTTCTTGTTTCTTTGCAAATAATGTCATCTTTGTTGGATTCAGGAGAAACCCATCAAAGTCACGAAGCATTGCTAGAAGACCTGCAGAATGATGTTCATCAGATGGCAAACAGTTTAGGAAACCTACAGAAGGTGCTTCATCACAATGGCACCCATAGAAATGGTCCTGGGGGCATGAACCAGGACCAGTCAGGTAAGAAGGTTATTTCTCAACAATCTCAGGCAATCAATCAAGCATTTAGGTAAATGCTAATGTATTTTCGGTTTGTGATGTATTTCAGAAGTCCAGCAAATGCTCTTTCTCCACATAAACAGTTTCTTAAAGGAGCATTTTAATCCTGTTTGGGCAAGCTTCAATAAAAGTCTACAGGATCTTTCCATTGCTGTGCAAAACCTTTCACAGAATGTCGAAGCTAATCGGAAAAGCATAGAGAGATTCCAAGAAAGCTTTGTGCCCAGGAAAGATTTCCAAGAGCTAGGGACAAAGTTTGAATCCAAAGTTCAAGCAAATGTTCTGAGGGCAGACCAGATGAAGCGAGAAATGGATCGCCATTACCATCTACAACAGGCAGTCATCAACTACAATCTGACTATGATCAAAGCAGATACTGACCTGAAGCTCAAAAGGCACCAGAAGATGCAGCAATCCTTTTTATTAGCATTAAACAACAGTATGGCCGACATGAGACAAGAGCAAAATAAGCTTCATGATGAGCTTGAGGTCCTAAACAGAAATTTTGCACTGTTCCCAAGAAAATTAGGCAATCAGAATGAGGTATTTACCGACATACATATGCAGAGCCTCAATCAGACCTTGCAAAAGCATGCTCAAGAGCTAAAGAAACTTGATCAGGAGTCTGAAAAAGATTATGAAGAACTAACTCATTCCATCACAAGGTTAAAAGACAGCTCAAAACGTGACATAGAGGACTTCAGAGTACGATTAATAGAGGGGAGTCTCATGATAGATGAATACCGAGAAGATGTAGAAAGGAAGATTTTAGTTCTTAATAATAGTCTGGCAGGTATTCAAGAAAGCCACTGGAATCTACAGAAGTCCATGAAGGCATGCTGTTGTGAAAACCAGCCTTCAAGTACCGATATAGAAGACTTAACTAACACCACCCAGATGCACGGAGAACATATAAAGCATCTGGAGGCACGTTTAAAAGATCTTGCTGCCGCTTTCCCTCTGATACATCAATCTTTGGATTTCCAGCAAGAACAGAGTCGGAAGCTGGAAGGCGGCATGTCTCTCTTAAAGACCCATTCTGAAGCTTTGTTTGAGAATGTTGATGTGCTAAAAAAAGCCAGTGAGAAGATGCATGGGCACATCAAGTATCTCAACAGTTCTTTCAACTCTTTGCTGGGCGATGCAGTGAGGCACGAGACTGCACTTGAGGTCTTGCTTGGAGAGGAAATTATGGAACTCCTCTCTGAGGAAGAGCTAATTCCATCCACAGATCAACTTCCAGTGATGAGCATCAAATTAATTACAGACAATCTCAAGAAGCAAAGTATGGCATTAGAATCTCTTAAGGAGAGAATACACTCTTTGGAGACAGATCATGAGCATAACCCACATACTCATAAATCTTTGAAAGATCTTGATACTGAGAAACAAATGGAGCTCAACCCCCAACACAGTAGAGTAGAATATATGGAGCCAAACCATGAAGCTGCCATGGAGGATGCCTTAGACAATCCAGCATACCATGATATTATGACCCTAAAAAGGGAGATTGGACACCTTACCAAAGAGATGAAGAAATATGAACTGCAATGGGATCATATTCACTTCTGCTGTAATCAGACTAAGGCCAACCTAGAGGATCTACTCAGTGTTTCAATGCAGGAGGTGAGGGAAGATCTTGTATCAGCCAAACAAAACTTTGAAGAACATCTAGAGGTCTTTCAGAAGTTGTTTGGAAATAGTAAGGAGTTGGCTGCCTCAAATGTAAGCCTGGATGTAGCAAAGCTTCAGTTACTGATGAGCAGAAAGATGAGGAAGCAGCTTAAAGTGCAGGGACAACAAAACATGAGAGACAAGAAAAGGGCCCATGGCCACAGAGAAGGCACTTTGAATGGAAGAAGCAGGATAAATGCAGAGACCCTGGAGGCAGGTAAGTTTCTTCCAACATTTTTTTTAAATGTTCTCATCATGGTTTCCTAAAGTTCTTGTCCCATGCCCCCACTGTATTTGTGTGTGCATGTTGAGATCTCAGGACTAGATGTGATTTTATTCCTGCATGTAATAATTGCTCTTATATATTAAAAAATAAACAGCAATTGTGTCTCTCCCCCTCCTCCTGGGCAGTTGAAAATCAGACAAATATTGCTTGTATGCAAAGCATATGACTTGACAGTTGCCATTCCAACACATCTGGATGTTGGGTTCTTTTATTTAAAATTATTGAAGACTATTTTAAAAGAGGAGTGGTGGATAAGAAGAAGGCACAACCCTAAAAGGTCCAGGTTGATCCTCACAACCGATGAAGACTTCTGTCCTTTCCTCTGTCGGGTCCCTTCCCATTCTCTTCTCCCTGTCCCAGGCTGCGATGAGTAGTTAAGAGATGACGTAGGGGGCTGGGTGTACCGTCATTGATTCTGGATGGCAAAGATCCTTACTGGGAAAATTCAGAAACCTTGGAGTTCCCCTGCCAATTGCAGCAGATTGTATTGAAATCTGTGTTTTGTGTTTCCCAACCTTGGCAACACCAGACGTGTGGACCAATGGCTGGGATAGCCATTGTTGGGAATGTTGGGAGTGGAATTTCACACTGGATTTTGTCAAGGTTAGGAAACACCGAGTAAATGGCCTGACAAGGTGGATTATAGTTTCCTATGTACCTCTGATCTGTCTGGGCCATTTCTTTTACTTTCAGCCCTTGGAGGCAACGGGAGTAGTATTTGGAAGACACCAAGTTGAGGAATGATCAAAAGTATATTGATTTTTTTCCTCTTCATAAACTCACAGAGATCCATGTACAATACCCTTTGACTGCAAACTCACTTAGGTAGAAATGGCCTTCTGTCAGGATTACCTTTCTGAAAAGAAACTCAGTCGTGGATGATGAGGTGAAGAAAAAGCAGCCAGAGGATTCCAAAGAAATGTCCTCATTTCATATCAGAAGCACCACATGGCTTCTGACCAGTACTGGACTAGCAAAGGTCCCTAAATCAGCCTGTCCCTTGTTTCAATCAGCCAGACACCCCATCTATCAGTCAGTTTAGAGCGTTTCATCTGCTGAAATACTAAGTAGACCTCACTGTATTTGCTAAAGGGGTGTGTCACGTTGTCCTAGAGCTACACATTCTCTTCCCTTGAACATGTGGGAGAACTCCCTTTTCAGGTGCATTGGGTCTGCACCTCTCTCACCTAGCCTAAGATGGCTGGGGATTGTAGCCATCCAGAGAGCACATGCTGGGGAAATTATTCAATTTAAAAAAGGAGATTTTTGTCAAGGACCTGGATCTAATTACCACTCATGCACATTTTCAGCTGCAGTGTCTGGAGAGGAAATATAGAATGATCAAATACTATATAATCAGATACAAAGAGCATTATGTTTTGAACATAATCTACAAATGCAGTTTGCTATGCTGGGATGAAAAAAGCCATATACAAGGGCATGTTTTACCAGAGTGAAAAATGTATTCTATACCCTTGGTTACCTTTCAGTATCTCTCTATATTAAATATAATAGTCAAATTGCTTACTGAAAATGCTGGAGCCTATCAACAAGATGGCAATAGCTAAAACTGACCTTCAAGAAGCTGCTAATTAAAGCCTGAGTCCTAAGTGTTTTCCTTTTTTCCTGAAATTATTTTGCTTTGTAGCAGCGACATCTCCTGGCCATTTTCTCTTCCCGAACTGAACTGCTTCCTTGATTGCATTTCAGGACCCTTTGTTGCAATGCAGAGCAAATGCACCTCCTTCACTGACACAGAGAGCAATGTTGGGTAGGACGTTTCCAGGAGTCCTTATGCTTTGCACTGGTGGCTGAGTTGCATGCCAGATCCCAGAAGTAGGCTGTGCTTTCTCTCTTTCCAAAAGGCTCTTGTCTTTCTCCTTCATAGAATGAGGAAAGGAAATATTATCCTTTTTCATCTTTGGGACAAGAAAAAAGAATACTCTTTGGACATGGTCGATCTTCTTGTGGATAATTCCATCCATACACACACACACACATTCAGTTGTGAGTTGTGTTTACCCATATTCTGAGCACCTGCATACTGTAATTGTTGGAGAAACCACATATTGTCTAAAGTGGAAAGGACCACCAGTCTTCACTCATATCCATTTCTAACCACTCTGACAGCTGGGGAAAGCTGCAGCCCCCCCAGAGTCCTTATTTCTCATCTCTAAATTTGGTGGCAGTTATGGCACACCCAAAATGGCTGATGAATTATTGTACTAATCAGTTGGAAAGTGTCCCAAGAGCAGAAGCTACTTGAAGTTGTGGGGCCTGCTGATGGCATGGTGAGAAATTACACTCTTTGTGAGAATTGAGCTCCTGATATCACCATTAAGTTAAGATATAGAATATATTTGAGGACATTGCAAGGATGGAAGAGGGAGGTGGAGATGGCCTTAGATGACTGGGAATCAAAATCTGGATCTGAGAAAAAATTGGAGGTAAGATTTATCTTGAGTTTTGGCCTCAGCTATAAGTCTCAGTATTCATTTCCAAGCTGGGCTTGGAAGAATGTCGCTAGGATTTCTACGGTTACTTTGAAAATGTTACAATTATATGGAATTCTATTTGCAACCATAACTTTTCCCTTTGTCTTACCTCCAGGCACAGCGGTGGCTTTTTATGTGCAGTATGCCGAAGATAAAGAGCAACAGTCAGTCTTTAATAGCACATACCTTAACTATGGAGGAGGCTACTCTCATGAACATGGCTACTTCAAGACATCCCACAGTGGTGTTTATATGGTGGCTGTCAGTGCTGAGTTTCCCCCAGGACCCGCCCTAGGACAACTAGTTGTCAGCAATGGGCATAGAATGACTCTAATACACAACAAGAAAAGGAAGTCCAGTGGTGGCTATACCACTCTGTTTGCACTTGTGGAACTGGAGAAGGAAGACCTGATGTGGTTTGAACTGGTGCAAGGTGCTGCAGTGAGACAGAACCCAGTTGGACTGAGCATGGCGGGATTTCTGCTATTTAAAACTTGAGAAGGATCACCTTTGCGATATAAGGGGCCTTCCCGTAAGCGTAGTCAACTTAATATTTTAACGACACAACCTGTTTTGTTTTGTCTGCATGTGGACATTAGGTCAGTAATGCTTTCTAGAAGGACTTCAGTAGCTGCTTAGCCACAGTTCAAGCAGGGTGAGATGCAGAAGTCAACGTATTTCTTCAACTGGCCAAAAGGCAATGAAGCAGATGCTCGTGGCTTGTGACACCTTTCGTTGTCCTCAAAATTTCCTGCTCAACTCCCTCACCCACATTTGCAGAGATAGGCTATAACCAGGGAGATGGAGCAACGCTTTTAGAACCCATTCATGGAAAAACACAACTTTGGGCTTCATGTCGTGCAAACAAACTACCTTGTCTAATGGGTATGTCATGTTTCTTCCTGCACCATCCACAGTCATGCTGTACGTAGGATTAGAAACCCAAGAGTTGTAGCAAGGCAATTTCTCCATTTTCCTAAATGATCTGCAGGTAATTACCAGCTGATCAACCAAAACAGCAATTCCTAAAAAGCATTGTTTAAAGATGACCATAAAAGTACAGTATATCGTCAGAAATATATCACTTCATTTACATTCTTGAGCCACAATCTTCTTTACATTCTGAGTTAAACAACCTGGAGTGATTATTCCCAAAGTTAAGTGCTGAAAACTGTGGGATCAAACTCACCTGATTAATGGAAATCATTTTTAAAAAGCATTCCTTTACAGGGCATGATTCCAATTTATGTCTCACAATGCTTAAAAAGCAAGTATGAATAAAATCAAGAGTTTCACAAATGCAAATTTAGAAATCAGTAATAAGCCCTTTGACAACACTGATTTGCCTTTATCTAAGATTGGAAGGTAAGCAAAAAGGGACCTAGCTGGTGTTTGGATTGGACATCTCCAGACAACACCAAGGCTATAGTTAGGATGCGATTTTTTTTTTAAAGGCAATTTCTGTGGTTGCCAAGAAAACTACATAGATGTATTTATATAAGCTTGATCCAAAGGGGACTTCATGTTTAGTTTGATGAAATTTATCTAATTTTTTTAAAAAATGAGTGAGGATTGTATTGATTGAGTTGCTCTACTCCAGGCACTTATGCTAACAGAGATGGGGGTGATTAGTTTTTGCATGGGAATACTTCCTCCATGTATGCATCACACTGAGTAGCAAATACACTAGCTAGACCACCACTGACAATCACAGCTAATGATCAAACAAGTGGCATCGTTTTGCCAGGAAGCTGTATCAGCAACACCACAGATGTGGAATATGTTTCGGTCACCAGGGACAGATAGAAGTTTACATTTTAGTTTAGTATCCCGTTGTAATGTTACTGCATCATTTCTTGATGATATAGATGTACCGTACTCCCTGATTTGGGGCTGTAATAAATGTGATTACTACGCCAACTAAGAATAATCTTCATTATTCCTACAGAAGATTACTCCATGTAATAGTTTCACTGCAAAGTCACTGCGTGATGCAGGGCTAAAGGCCTCCAAGTTGGATTCTGAATTTAAATACAGGGACAGTAATTGCCAACAAATGTAAGTAGCTGGGAGTGAATCTGGTACGTAATTTCAGCACATTCTGTATAAATATACGACTGGGATCTAACTCGTCTCTTACCAATTTCCCTGTGCTGCAATATCCATGTAGCAATTTAAAAACAAAGAAATTCAATGAAGTTTCATTGCGTAAAGCTGAGTAAATGAAAACCCCAAATTAGCCATGCCCACTTAATAGTACCGTGTTTAAGTCCCATTGAAAGCAAGGACTGTGTCTACCTGCTCAAAAATTTCTTTATGAATTGTACTCAGCCAAGTACGCCATGTTTAATTTTTGTAGAAGGGTGGTGTATTTCGGTCCTATGGATTTGGTGTCTAACCTGTAAATATTCTTGGCACAAGACAGGACTGCAAAATAGCAAGAGTCATTTCCACTGACAGAAAATTTAGCATTTATGGTTAATTATGTAGGATTCACAACTTCAAGTTACCATGATAGTATTACATTGCGACATCCCAGTACATCTTTGTTACATTCTTACCCACTTTGATGGTGTTAAGTTGTGGCATCAGGAGTGTGACTTTTAAACAAGAATGCAACATGCTGACATCACATTTCAAGCGAAGCATCAGTGAGGCTAGAATTCTCTATAAACCAAGCCTCTGCCAAAGTATTTAATATTCCCTGGAAACTCATTCTCCAAAATGTGGATTCTTGTGTTGACTACCCACAAGGCTCTCAGAAATTCCAAGGTTTTATAAGCATCACAAAAGGGATTGGAAAAAACATAAAGGGCCTTTCTGTAAAAGGGGGATGAAGAGCAAGATCAGAGGGGAAGAAGACAAAATGGTCAACGGGGTCAGAGGAATGGGCTTCAAATGAAGCGGCCAGGATAAAATCCTGCTTGTAGTCCTCAACAGGTGCAGGGCAACCCTTTGCACCATGGCATTTTTGCATTATATAGTAGAGAGATTAAATGGTGAGACTGGACTGACAAATCAATAAATGGAAAGCTTCACGTTTCCCCGTGACAGCAAATCCCCAAACCAAGTATGCAACTTTTCCAGTAAGACAATTTATGATTACAGAAGAGGTTTATTATAAAAACCTGCATCTTCAATCAGATGTATTTTTGTCTCTCAGTGTAGGACCCCTTATCCTATTATCACAAATTTCTTTTTATTTGCAATCATTCACTGTTGCTAGTGTGTGCATGGATTATGTGGCACACATCATGAAGAGATCCCAACAAGTTACAAGGGAGATGGCGCTTACACAGCACTCAGGGGCTCAACGACTCCTTTGGTGCCCATCAGTCTCCCTGGATCCGACTCTTGATTTTTTAAAAAAGATTCCTTCAGTTAAAGAAAGAAAAGCCAAAGCACCAGCCTCAGGCATAATCTGCCCTTCCAGGACGTCTCTGGCCTTCACGTTCTTAAATTCCAAAACAGTGTTTGGGAGCAGCCAAGTTTTGTTTGGAACTGGGCCTAAATGCCTAAGGAAAAAAGGCCACGGTACGATGAGATCAAGGAAAGGTAAGAATGGGTGGTGGGAAGCCACTTGACCAATCCGGCTTTTGGTCAATGGACTGTGGGCACGTCAACTGTGGCAGCCATGCTGAGACAGTGCCCGTCGCACGCTACCGAAATTACAAACATGAGAACTGTACTTAAAAGGTTGGGGAAGCCTGATGTGTCATGCGTAAGTCTGGCCTGAGATTAAATGGGTTTTCCTTACCAGAAAGACAGACACCAACTTTTCTTTCTTTCTTTTGCAAGGAAGACATGACTGGGTCTCGGCTTCAATGCATCTTCACCACTTCTCAAACTAGTTGAGGCAAGTGTGCGTTTTCCTGAGCGGATGAGTTTTCTTGTACTTGGCTGCATGTTTTTCCGTGCTAATTTTAAAAGCAAAAGAGACTGCCACAGTTGTGCAGCCACCCGTATGAAACTGCTAATGAACAAATATATTACTAACGTTTACTAAAATAAGGTTGTTTACTCAGAAATGATACAGTGACATAAACTTGTGTACAGAACAAAGCAATTCATGGTAAACATAAGGCACCTTTTTAAACGGATGTGGTACAAAACATTTCGCCTGATACACTTAAAAACATTCTACAACGTCTGGCACATATAACAAAAGGAGTATAATCAAACCGCTTCTTTCACCCTCTCTTCTTTATTTACATAATCTATAAGGTCAGCTACATTACTCTCTCTGTATACAATATAATACATTTTTATATAAGGCATGAATAAGCCAGAGCACATAAGAGTACATGAAGTGGGCTTCTATACTGCATTCAAGGACAATACAGGAGAAGGCAAACTATTGGATGAGATGATTGAGTCTGGACAAAAACATTGTTCATTCCACATTTATGATACCAGTAACACGTCTTTAACTGAAGGGCCCACCCATCTGAAAATCTGAGGCGATACATGGATGTTGTCTATTGCGTAGGAGCTTTCTTGCTGAACGCAGCAATGCTCCCTCCATCTCACTGAGATGCCTGCACAGCTGTTCCTGACGGTCTGCCTGCCTGGTAAACCTGCCCTTGCTGCCACAGTGGACTGGGGGAAGACTCACAAGCACTGAAAATTCAGCAAAAATGTGGCAAGGGTAACTGCGTATTTAACTGCTGTCACCAGAATATGGATCAAATCAGTATCATTTCACTGAAGACCATTTAAGTCCTCTCATGCACCACTATGCAGAATTTGGCACATAGCGTTACAGTGATTTTACTCCTAACATTTCCCATTTAGTATCAGTTGACACTATTACAAATTGATTTCTGCGTGCGCTTTCTCTCTGTAACCAAAATAATCCCAGTGCTTGTGAAAGCCGGATAGGATTTTCTACCCTCCATGCATTACATGGCGTAAACAGAACCATTTGGATCCACTGACAAATGACCTGAGTCTGAAAGAAGAAACTTAACAAAGTGAGAAGCATGAGCAAATAGATATGAGAAATTAAGCGTATTACTGAGAGAAGCAAAAGGTATTTGATGGATTCATGAAGCAGAGGATTCCTCTTGAAATATGAAGGCTGATAACAACATCCCTTCAGGGCAGGTAGGCATTTATGGGCACTGAAGCTCACTGGACTGTTTTTTAATGGCACCGATAAGATTCAATCTTTTTGCAGAAGGGTTTCATCACTGAAATTATGGCAACTTTTGGCAGTGTTATGCTAATACAGATACAAATTTCCCTTTCAACACTTCTGATTCATTTATTATTATGTAATTAATGTCTTGTCCAGTGGAATGAAAATGAATAGAAGACTTCAAGGAGCAGAAGTGTCACTGATCTGATTACAACAGGGGCCTTCAGGAACATTTTAGAGTAAGAAAAGAAAATTTTGCATGGGAATACGTGAATGCTTTCTAATTGCAAAATGCATATAAAGAAGTTCAACCTGTCTGCTTCTAACACCGTTCATCCCCCAACAATAAATAGAACATGAAAACTTTTCCCCACAATCAGGAAATTGTTCTGCTGCTGATTTCACTGTCATGTTAATCTCAAGGCTTCAATTCACAAACACTTTTTAAGGTGGAAGGTTTTCTTAAAAGCACAGTTCAAAGGCACATACTTGTTAGTTGGGCATCATTCTGCACAGTACATAATGGAAGACATTACAAAGCATGCATTTCTCAAGAATTTGTACATACTCCCTAATGGCAACTGGACAGAAAAGGACAATATGCCACTATGAAAACTCTCCAGCTTGGGGAGGGTTGTAAAAATAAGGCCATTATTTAATGAAGCTGTTACTTTAAAATTCAAAACAAAACAAACCCATATCAAATTCTGACCACCTCTGCACAATTCCCTTTTGCCATAATGAATGCCACATTTCTTTATTTGCCTGCAATTTAGTCAGCTGAAATGACTCTGAATGTGTTCCCCCACAAACTTTCCCCACCAACGTCTCATGATGGCAGACGAGCACCCAGGGAACTTTTACGCAGTGCAATTTGGTCATCTGTATCAGACCGATCACACAGAAAGAAGAGTTTCCCCCCACAAGAGATGGAGATGTCGGGTGTCCTCTACACACAAATGTAGAATTCTGTGTTATCCATCCGTCTGTCTTAGAACCACCAACTAAGTGGCAGTTCAGCACGTGGCACCTGATCATTGCGTTGCGCAGGTCAATAAAGTGACCTGTAGAGCTGTTGCAAACGTGCACTTCAAAAAGGCAATGCAGGTTGCACAGATGTATCAATAACCCTAAGGAGCTAGAGGAGAATAGAGGCAACACGACCTGTTGAATTACACCCTAAATGACTAACAGCCTGGGGAGCACTGAGTAGAAGCTATGTTTTTTTCAGTTAAAGAGTCAGAGCTGTGAGGCAGATTCTAGGCAAAACAGGAATGAAGGGCCACATACTCTGAGACTTACTGCCATGCCATGCAATTGATGGCAACAGTTCAGCAACACCACCTAGCTGAAATAGCTGAAGGAGTAAGGCCCTCAGTAGTTGAGTAAATGACATCAGTTTCTGGAGCAGAATCTCCCACATTGTGAATATTCAAACTAACCTAATTATCTCAGGACTTCTGATGATGAATGAAACTGACCTAATCATCTCAGGACTTCTGATCGTTCATCCTCAGAGGTCCTGAGATAATTAGGTTAGTTTGAGTATTACAATGTGGGAGATTCACCTACCACTAAATTGCAGAGAGAGAGAAAAAATGTGATGCTTCTCATAAAGAAGTGTGTTGTTTTGCTTACACAATGTGGGAGATTTTGAAACGAGGGGTGTTCACTATGTTACACAGCTGTAGCCCAATCTGGGGCCGCCCAGAGGCATAAGAATTCTGGGAAATGTAATCCCTATTCTACTGGAGGTCACCAGACTGGAAAAGCTGCTTATAGTGAGGTCTGCTAAGACAATGTAAAGAGTATTTAATAATCCATAGCTGTAACAACAAATTAGGAAGCATACTGGAGTCAAAGACCAATGGTTCTGACCCAGTATGACATTTGCTAGATTGTCTTTTATTCTAAAGCTTCATCAACACAAATATTAATGGTTAGCACTTACCAGACTACTAAAAGCTACCCACCCTACATGGCACTTAGGAGCAGAAATATGCCAGTCTAATAAACTGACATACTCCTCACCAAAATTTCCAAGATCCATGATATTTTTGTAAACAGATCTTTGCTTAAATGGAATTTTAATGTAAAGGAACTTGGTCTAGACCAGTGGTTTCCTATCTGTATTCTCAAGAACCCTGAGAACTCCTCAGAAGATCACTACAAGCAGCTCACTGTCCCTCACCACCAGAGACACTGTCCCAAAATTAAGAGAAAAATCAGAAAGTTGGGCGTGTGTTCTAGGGAACGAAGTCAGCTTGTGAGCCATAATGGTGAGGTCCCACAGTGGCAGATGGGAGTTCCTTAGTGCAGGGTTCCTCAACCTTGGCGACTTGAAGTCCACGCATCTTCAAGTCGCCAAAGTTGAGGAACCCTGCCTTAGTGGACATATTCATTCCAAATATTC